AAACGGAACACCTACATCTATCTTGTTTTAAACGCTTTTTCTCTACAAATTTTTATTCAAAACCTAGCAAAACAACAGAAACAACAATAAATAAAAAGATTTATTCAAAATGGCCTCCATCTGCTTCGACACATGCCTTCAATCGCTTCGGGAAGTCATCCACGACCTTCTAGATGATAGATGTAGGTGTTCCGTTTATTTAGTGGCAGGGTGTACATTTTTCATCAACAAGTAAGAATTCTCCTCCTTCTTTCGATAGCCTCCATAAGCCAGTCAAAGCGATCTCATCGGTAGTTGTTGGCAATTTAGGGTAATTAAGCGCTCTACGATGATAAAGTGAAGCATCAACATTCGGAAGTGTTGGAAACACACGACCAGTTGCAAGACCAGGATTGGCAACTCTTGCTCTGACGACCTCTTGTGAATATATTTTTGGAATAGGTAGCGTTTCCTCTCTGTTTCCACGTTTTTTCATATTATCAACAGCAATATCGATGAGGACTTTGGTGGTATCTGGTTGGCATGTGTGCGCTGATTCATTCCGTAAAATTCTCACATCGTTTGTACATAATGATATTGTACTTGAACATGTTCGATTTCGACACCGCCATTCATTATTTGTTTTGTTTGCTCGTTTTTTAGTGTATTGATACCCATTATGATTCAAAACTGGTTTGTCTTTTTCAGTAGACGTGAAAATTAACATTTTGATGAACAAAACAATTTAACTTATTTAGATTTAAATTTGTGATAGTAGTGGCTAACACGACACATTTTGCCCGGTACGCGCACCTAGTCTTGTGTACAATACCCATCGCCGTCGTCTAAACTGTTCGATGCAATTTTGCTACGTACACGGACCTTGTATTGTCTACAATACCATCGCCGTCGACTAAACGATGGTACAACACTTTATTTATTTTTAGGCGCAAATATAAATATCTGGGACGAATTGAGAAAAAAATATATGGGACGAACTGAGAGAGAAGTGTTGATGGGACGAACTGAGAAAAAAAGCTTCGTGGGACGAATTGAGAAGTCAATTTGGGACGAACTGAGAGGACACCATGCCTTTAAGTCACTATAATTTGGGAGAAAAATGAAAAAAAGAAAAGTTCGTTATCAAAAAAGAATGACACAAGTATACGTCGGACCATTCATCAGTTTAGAAATTATTTTGTTTTAGAAATATAATTCGACTGTAAACAGTAACAGAACAAGTACTGAAGAACAGACGTACAAAAAAACTTACAAAAAGACGTTGTTTCATGTTAATATTCACAAACACGGAGAGTGAAAACATGCAATTTTGTGAATAGTCACCAAAAAACTGCCTATCACGTGCCATAAGAACTCTTCATCGTGCTCAGAAATTGCCTTGGATCCACTCATCAACAAGTCTATCCGATGATGCCCAAGCATACCTGTGGGGTCGGAAACCGTAGTACAGTGGCGGAAATGCACAAAGTGCATCCATTTTTGGATGATTGAAATGTAATTCTTCTGACGCAGTTTATTACAATTCGATTGTGGACGTATTCCCACTACCCTATTGAGATGCTCCTTCGAAAACCCGTTGGTTAGTTCTCAAAATGGCACAAGCGTTCATCTTCGTCCAAGTCGTTAGGTGTCTATCTTTTCCATTCCCCATCGGACAATGCTATTCTTTCGATCGAACATTCACCCACAATACAAAACATACGAGTCATTAGAGACCTACCTATTGGAACTTTGGAAATTAATGCAAACTACTTTAAAAAGTCTCATATTAAATTAATTCCCATTAATTTTTTTCTGATTAAAAATCAATCTGAATCAATTTAACTTGATAAACTAATGCGAAATTCAATTGATTTGAATTAGTTTATCAAATTAAATTAATTCAAATTGATTTTTAATCAGAAAAAAATTAATGGGAATTAATTTAATATGAGACTTTTTAAAGTAGTTTGCATTAATTTTCATTAATTTCCAAAAGTTTCAATGTGTATAGCACGACAGTGGGGGGGTGCTGCTGCTCAGGACTGTAGCAGCCACCTATCCTAATAGTCTCATCATCCACTATAACATCCATTGCATTCAGGTTCGAATCGCTCGTGAGAAGATCCACGCGTTTAAAAACTAGAGCTCTGCAAATAAACAAAATTACGCCTCGAAAGAGTATGTTTCTTCCTCGTACAAAATTTGGAAAACCGAAAATAAATCTCAATTTATTCATATCAACTCTGCCTATCAGCGACTATTGCTACAGAAATTTCGTTCTCATCCTGTAGCTGCAAACTTCCATCATACCTATATCCAACTTCTCTAACATTACTAAGTTAAACATTAATAATATCAAGTTCTAACTGATGTTGAGATAAGTCAAAGGGAAGCAGATGTCTACGAATACTCAGTCTGCTTTGTACATGATCTGCCGTTGTCTTTGATCAAGGTACGAACGGTGTCACTTTCGTATTGAAGTTCATGTTGGATGACAATGGAGGCGCTGTGCTAATCATACTACTATTACTAATTACATTGTCGGACGGGATCGGCAAACCACTTATAATTTTCCCTCGTTCTGCTAACATAAAAGTATTATAATCACAATAATTCGCTAATAGGGATAACAAGCTTTCTATCAGTTTCAATATGTTCGTTTTTCAATCTGAGTAATCTTTTCTGGTTCACCATATAAGCTTTTAAGTACAATACCTAGTGTAGATCCGATATTCTCAATAGAAGGAACTAGCAGCACATTCATAGCTTCTTTCATATTAACAACAGTATGATCTAGAGTGTACAGACGAAGAGTACACGTGCCTAAATCAAGTTCGTCACTGGCCAAGACAACCTTGCGTTACAGAAATATATACAGGGGATGATATGTTTTCAAAACAAGATCGAAATCCGATGTATTCAGCAAAGATAAAGACATATCAGCTCAGGCGCGCTGATTCTCAAAATCAGATGCTGAAGAAGCGATAACTAGTAAATCTAATTCAACATGAAAATTATACTAATATTCGATGTTTTATTCTTTCAACACTTTTTTGATTAGACAGTAGAAAAACATACAACAAATCGTAAATGCGCTCTGGTCTGACTTTTTCCAATCTAAATGAGTCTTTGCCTGAGAGTTACTATCCTCACTTGTCAATCAGTTTAAGACAATTAACTACCACAGAAAATCCATAGGAAACAACCTGAAATAATCTGTATTCGATCCACGTTGTTTGGTTATCAACAGTCACTTTTACTTTCGTAGAAGAGCTACTACATTGCACTGCAAAATACACAGATCATTCAAGAAGTATATCTATTGTAAAAAACTTATATCTAAAAACGCATAATACGTATTTTAGGTATAAAATAGGTTTGCATGTACATTAACAAGGTAAGCGCAGCAAAGATTTACAGTTTGCTATAAATTATGTTGATGATGGAAAACCCCATAAATTGCTTGAAAGACTTTCATTTCATGTGTCTGATGGTCAACAAATGCTCTTTGGTTGATTGATCGTAATTAAATAAATGTTTTGCTGATTGAGGATCAGATCACAGTTCGTTTCTTCTAACCGGTGTGAGTAAGTAGCCAACATTATTGAATACCTTATCAGTAAGTACTTTTGTATCAGCAGGAATTATTCAGTTTTAATTGGGATCGGTACCACACGCTTTTGCTATCATGAACGGAACTGAGAAATCGTGATTTAAAGTATATGACTCGACGATTAGTTGATATAACATCGGTGTGTTTTGGTTTTTCCGGAATAAAAAACAAACGTGCAATTTTCATTGTTGTTTCAGCTAGTTGGAACACAGCTCTACTATGGACGTTTGCTCCATCTTTAGAGATAATTACTCTTAATTCGGGAAAATTCAATAACTTAGCAAATTGTAGAGTTAGAAGGCTAAAAGTTTCTGTGATAATAACAGATATCTAGCACGATGATGTGAAAAAATGTTGACTCTTAATTGAGCTGTTTTGACTAAGTTACAGAATTCTTAGTATTAG